CACTGACCATGGAACCCACTTGGGATTCGTTCTTTTTCTTTCTCCTGTATTCTCTCAAATATAAATAAATAAATAAATAAATAAATTTCAGAATTGCACTTATAAGGGTGGAGAGGAGGCTTAAACCAATGTGAAGCTTTGGCTTTGCAGGACAGGAGAGCACAGAACCAATTCTGTCCTTTTTAGGCTAAGAATTTGGCCAAACAGAACTCTGGGAGCCAATCAAGGGTGGGAAGGTACTGGCTTCAGCCACATCCCAGAGCTACCCATACATAAATGCTTACTGCTTTGAGTTCTTTATCTTTTTCCAGCCTGGGAATTGGTGCCAAAAATCTCCCCCTTCAACGTCGAGCTGACATGCTGGGTAGATGAGATAAGTCCCATCAATTGTGTCATTGGCTTCGTCTCATAGTTAGTCATGCATGCTTGTTTTTATGAATGGTTTTGAAGAAAGAATTCATGACTACAGGGCCTGACTCAGACAGGGGTCCAGGTGCTGAAGTCAGAGGAGCCTCTTCTGGGGCTTTGGGAACAAAGAAAGCATCCCCTCCTCCCTACAAACACACACACACACACACACACACACACACACACACACACACATGCTCTTCTACTGAGAAAGCCTTTCTGAGAAACAGCTCAACATTAGACTCACTGCTAGGGGCGCCTGGGTGGCTTAGTCGGTTAAGCGTCCGACTTTTTCTTTGGTCATGATCTCTCGTTTCGTGGGTTCGTGCCCTGCTTCGGGCTCTGTGCTGACTGCCAGCTCGGAGCCTGGAGCCTGTTTCAGTCTGTGACTCCCTCTCTCTCTGACCCTCCCCTGCTCATGCTGTCTCTCTTTCTCTCTCTCCTAGAAATAAATAAAATATTTAAAAAAATTTAAAAAACGTTAGAGTCACTGCTAAATTAGACATTTCACCTAAAAGCAGAGAGAAGTGTGAGGGGTGAGTTAGGCAGCCTTCCTTCCAACACTTAGGCCAGCATTGATTGTCTTATCAAGTCACGGTGTGCCGTACTACAAAGAGAAGGGCTCTGGTGGCCATCTAGCCTCCATGTTGTGGGGCAAGCAGGCCTGGCAGCCGCAGAGGACGGCTCTGAGTGGGCTTCAGTGCCGGGCTCAGGAGCTGGTAGAGGAAAACCAGAGTGTGGACAGATTCTCATGGTTTGCCAGATAGGAAATATGTGCATTGACTCTTTGGATAGTTTGGGACAGATTGTAAAACTAGGTAAATTGGGGCGCCTGGGTGACTCAGTCAGTTGAGCATCCGGCTTCGGTTCAGGTCATGATCTCTTAGTTCATGAGTTCGAGTTCCACGTCAGGCTCTCTGCTGTCAGCACTGAGACCACTTTGGATCCTCTCTTCCCCTCAGTCTGTGCCCCTCTCTCGCTCAACTTCTCTTTTTCAAAAATAAATAAATCATTAAAAAACTTAGGCAAACTATTTTAAAGATTTGAATGTATGGGTTAGAAGTGTAAATTGATTAATGATCCCAGTTTTGAAGAATTTTAATAAAGATCATTTAGGCTATTTTTTTTTTAGTCACAGGATTATGTTTTCTGAATGAAATATGGATCAAACAAAACCCAGAAATAGAAATCGCACACCTTCTCTCTCCATCTGGTTTGTTCATGGGCTTCTGAACTTACCAGGTACTTGCTATGTGGCCTCAGGAAGGTTGTTTCACTTTTCTGAGCCTCAATGCCCTCAAAATAAGCACATTGGATTGCATGAGCCTTCTGTGACTTTCTGAATCTGAAATTCTCTGATTTTTCCATAGCTTGTTCATTTTCTTTCCCCCGATCTAATTTTAATCAGAAAAGGGGGAGAGAAAAGACAGTGAGGGGGTAAAAAAAAGACAAATATTTAACAAGTATCAACCAAATACCAAACACCATAGACTCATTATTTCATTTAATTATCGTAACAAATGTGGGAAACATAGTACTATTGTCACATTAGACAGGTGGAGACACAGAGGTTAAACTTTGCCTGAGGTTGAGCAATTGATGTGATGAAGCTGATTCTTCAAACCTGAGTCTGGGTGACTCTGGAATGTGTATTCTTTCCTTTGCGTTTCTTTTCACTATGAGGCACTATTTCCCAAGAGGGGCGCAAACAGAAGGGACAGTGAGATTGGGGGCCAGGGGACGAGATGGGAGAAGAGAAGGGCCAGAGGAGATGTGATGTAGATGGGTTACGGGACTGCGACCAAGCTCTTAGCGCTGTTCTCACCCACAGCCTGGACGTGGCCGCACATCCCCCGTGGCTCCGTGGCTCCTCCGCAGAGAGGCGGGCATTCTTGAGCAAGACTCGAGGAGCTTCCCAATTCTTAAGACTTCTGATGGCCTCTCTAGGAACAGTCTAGGCACCATAGTAAAGGAGACAGGGCAATCAGGGAAGTGGGGAGGAGCAGAGATAGGTATTTTTCTTTCTCCCCCTCTCTGAAGGACATCTCTAGAATCAAAATCGTTAAGAACTATCCCAAGAAGGCCAACTTTGTGTTGCAAGGATTAAGATCCACTAAACTCATCATGTGCCAACTGGACCTCTATCACTTCCCTCTGAGATCTTTCCTATATCCTCATTCCCTGGGTTTGTGTAGATAAGACAGTGTCTAGGGTTTGTGTAGATAAGGCAAGGTCAAAGGGCTCCGTAGGATTTCTGCAGGAAGTAGCACTGGTGAGTCAGGGCTGGGTGCTTGTCTCTCTGTGTCAGTATGGAGCCGATGTCCCAGCAGGTGAGGGGGCAAGCGCTGGAGGCGGAGCCCTTCAAATAAGTAGAGAACATGACCACAGACTCTCCAGGTGTTTTCGCTCAGAGCAAGGAGGTGAATGTCAACACATTTCCTCTGTCCCAGTTTGGGTCGTTGTATTTCTAGTTACCTTTCCACTATCTTCGTCCCCCACTTTCTGTCTTACCTTCAAAGCATCCATGTGCAGCACGGCCCTGCTAGTGAGGAGAACACCTCTGGGTGTTCTCCAAAAGTGGCCTTCTCTCCATTTTTTCCATTCTACCCCACAATCATCTTGACCTTTTCACCTGGCAAGTTTTGCTTGACCTATCAGTGAAGAAAGGCAAATGGCGGCTTTGGTCTCCTTCATTAACCCAGATGGACTTTTCTTGGGTTCCTGAGGAGAAGGAGACGGTGTCTCCCAGATTTCACCAAATGTCCCCTGGGGTCAAAATTGCCCCCCTTGAGAACGACTGCTGTAAACCTAGTCCTTCTCTCCTTCAAGAAGCTAATGCCCAAAGCAACTGTAACCATGAAAACCACTTATGAGTTGACTGGGGAGAGACAGTGCTTATGAACAAAATCCAGGCCAGACTCTGGAGGCCGTGGGCCCCTTGGGCGACTCCCAGGGTTCCCTGAAGCAGCCTCTCATCTTTCACAGCAGAATGACTGTCCCAGATCTGCCAGGAAGGACTTTCAGAGGTGGGGCCCAGGGAGGCCGATGTCAGGACCTCGATGTGGGCCCGAATGACACGTGGAGGGTGGCTGATGTCCTGATTTGCTGGGCTTTCCTAGTGGGAGCACCACAGGGCCTGAGAGGTTGGTGTCCAGGTACCTTCTGTTAGGCTGCCCTTCCAAGCGGCTTTGCCTATCACTTTGGGACACAGATGCTCCCCTGTTGGCAGCTGGAGAGGACAGGGCTTGGAGCCAGCTTCTCGCTGGACATTTGAGGCCTGCAGACATCCCAGTTCTGTTGCTGTAATTGCTCCTTACCTTAGGGAGATCCCAATTGCTAAGAGGTGAGATTAGAGCACCCAAATATATTGAGGTGGGAGTGAAGCTGGGGCCTGTTGCTGAGAGCATGCTCAAACCACTGTATGTCCACAGTGAAAGCCAGGCTACTTTCCACGGATGCCCGCCCGGCATGGGGGCCAGTGGTGGGGTGGGTGGTGAATGCCTACGATGTGTGTGTTGCTGTGTGGTCAACATGGACAATGCGCTCTGCCCATTGCTGGAGGTGAGGATAGCTGTCCATTGTCCTGAGTCTTGTTAAAGCCGCGGTCATCTCGGCCCCTCGGGCATGTGCGCAGCTGGGGGCATGTCCGGTCTGAGGACCTGCTGGTGGCTGCCTGGTGCTCATGCCCCAAACACGGTCTCCAGAGCCAGGGCCATGTGTCCAGTCCCCTGGGAGCATCCTTGATACTTATATCTTTCCTTCCCTGTTTGTGGCATTTGTTTGTCTTTAATTTAAGCTTCTGCGGGGTGCCTGGGTGGCTCAGTTGGTTAAGCATCCGACTTCAGCTCAGGTCATGATCTCACAGTTCGTGGGTTCGAGCCCCGTGTTGGGCTCTGTGCTGACAGCTCAGAGCCTGGAGCCTGCTTTGGATTCTGTGTCTCCCTCCTTCTCTGACCCTCCCGTGCTCACGCTGTCTCTCTCTCTCTCTCTCTCTCAGAAATAAATAACATTAAAAAAATTAAATTTAAACTTCTGTAGATTCCTTACATCTTAAAGGAAAAAGTGTTCTCTGTTCTGAAGGAGAAACAATTGATTTTCCCCCTTATATTATGTAGATGGAGATATGTCTCCACTCGGTTAGTCTCATGTCTACTGAGATGTCATTACTTATAGAAGAGCCTGGGATTTTCAAGAATAGTAACACGGTAATTTGTCTTTCAAATACTGTTTTACTTATAGCAGCAATAACAGGAAATGTGTACTATTTTTCAGTGTTATAATCTGATTCACCCTTTGATATAAACAGCTTTATCTCATCTCATTGTTTATATCACATTCCTATTCCTCTGGAAAGAACAATATTTTTCCCCTGAAAAGTAATATATTCTTGTCTAAGAATGGCTTAAATAAGTAACAGATGGTGTGTGTGTGTGTGTGTGTGTGTGTGTGTGTGTGTGTCCCCTACTCCCACTCATTCTCTGCATTTGATCAGATATTAAAATCAGTATTTTACGAAACATCACACAAGACTGAAGTTATAGGTATGTTTCCAACTTGGCTTCTTTTATTTATGTGATGGTGGTGTTGCTTGTAAAGTATTAAAATATAGGCAACTGAATAAATTTATTTGTGCTTGTCAAATGGAATGTGCTTGAACAAATCTTCTTTCTGGTTCCTGGTGACCTGGATTCCCCACGGGAAAGATAGACTGGAGCATTCAGTGGTGGCACATGCCTGTGGCCGTAAAACAGAGATCACTGGACACCAGGTCCTTTCCATACGACTTATTTATACCTCTGTTCTAATGTTCAAGTAGGTTCTGGTACCAGGACTGAATTCTGGTCAACACAAAGTTTTATTCTTTGACTCTGTTCAGGGGAAAGACCTGACATTAGAAGCCAGATTTCCATCATCGCCTCGCTATCTTGCTGACTTCAGGCAAGTCCAGGGGCCACCTCATGCCTGTTCTTCTCTCCATAGACTGCAGAAAATTACCTGCTGAAAGGGATGTTGTGTCTGTAACATGAACTAATAGTTATGAAGATGCTTTAAAAAGTCAAAAGCGGGGCGCCTGGGTGGCTTAGTCGGTTAAGCGTCCGACTTTCGCTTAGGTCATGATCTCGCGGTTCGTGGGTTCGAGCCCTGCATCGGGCTCTGTGCTGACTGCCAGCTCAGAGCCTGGAGCCTGTTTCAGTCTGTGACTCCCTCTCTCTCTGACCCTCCTCTGCTCACGCTCTCTCTCTCTCTCCTAGAAATAAATAAAAAAATATTAAAAAAAAAATTCAAAAGCATTTTAGTTCCCAAATACCATGTTTTAGATATTCAAATCAAATTATATATGTTTCGTGTAAACTCTTTATCTATATCTCTCTGGTTGATAGGTTAGCTCTATAATCAAATGACTTTCTTTCAAAGATATAGTTTCTTTGCCATGGGGGTTTCAAGGAAGGAAACACACATACGTAAGGTTGTTACTGTAGACTTCTGTGAGATGTCGCCCTAGAGCGGGGAGTAGGGACAGCTCATTTCTGGATGCGAACTCTATGATCCTTGGGTCTAGTAGGTGCTTAAATGTATATTGCCCAAAAATATGAGTATTGTGGGAGATAAGCTATCCTCAGTATTTTTATAAAAATCTTTGAATTTCAAAGGTGATACAGTTTTGTGCTCTCCAATTATTCATTCTTACCGTCATTGAAATTCTCTTTTTTCCTTACTGGATAGACAGTTGAGGTGTGATCCTTTGTGTTGATATCTTCTCCTTGTCCTCCTGTTTTGTCGTCTGAAAAGCACATGTTTTCATGTCATGATAAAGTTTGCGCATGGTTATTGGAGACAGTTCGGAAAAATAAAGATGGACAAAAAGGAAATAGCCACCCATTTTCCCCATGCATATCATAGGGCCAGATCTCCAACATACACACTGGTAGTGTCTAGAAAAACCAAATCATGTGACGATATTTATATGATAGCAATTACATAAGGAAAATATAGGTGTGTATATGCATATGGATAACTGTGGGTCTATATGGGTATATCTATGGAAACGAGTGACAAATAAAGATAGAAAGACTAATTTATTTTATTTTTATCTTTTAAAGTTTACTTATTTTGAGAGAGAGAGAGTCCCAAGCAGGCTCCCTGCTGTCAGCGCAGAGCCAGATGTGGGGCTTGAACTCACAAACCATGAGATCATGACCTGAGCCAAAATTAAAAGTTGGATGCTTAATGGACTGAGCCACCCAGGCACCCCTAGAAATGCTATGTTAAATGCACAGATTATGTCTGGAGAGCCAGTGGACAGGAGAAGTTCAGAGAGAGAAGTCCATCTGGGCATAGATATTTGGGAGCAGTTTCATGGAAAAGGTTGGATTTGAGCAGAGCTTGAAGGACGAGTAGAGTCTGATAAAGAGAAAGTTCTGGAAGTAGATTCCTGGTGGGGTGCCACACCTGGACAAAGGTGTGGTGTGAGGTGTCAGTGCAGCAGTCGAGGGTGTATCATGAGTCTGACCTCTCACTGCGTGGGTGACACGTAGCAGAGCTTGGAAAGCAGGACCAGGCAGACTGGGCACTGGAAACTTCTAAGCAGGCTATCAGAATGAAGAATGGGGATTGCATGAAGACCAGTCAGGTGGTGGTTGAAGTAGAATGAGCCAGAGCAGGGAGAGCCCAGAGACATCTGCAGGGCTGGGAAGCCCAGGTACGCAGTGACAGATCTCTGCAGAAGGACGCCGATGCAAGTAGGCGGAATGGTGAAGAAGAGGAAGACATTCTGAAAAGTAATGGGACCTGGTGCCTGATAAGATGTGGTCAGCCATACAAGAGAGGAAGAAGCTAAGGAAACAGTGACAAATGTCACAGCCTAAGTGACTGGTCTATTGACAGAAGTAGGAAGGACAGACATCGTGTTGTATAATAAAAAGCTTGATTATTATATTTTTTTCCTGGAAAAGATCTGAACATCAGGAGTTGGTATAGGGTTTTGACCGTCAAGATTTCAGACCACTAGTTCTTGGAAGTGTGATATAAAATACTGTAATGTGGTATGTTGCTGCAAATTAGATTATTGATTTGGTATTGTCAAGAAATATGACATCTCAGAAACAGGCAGACTAGTGGAAAAGATACCCCACCGGCAGGTGTGGGCAGAACTGTGCAATTTTCAGAGCGCCTGGGTGGCTCAGTCGTTTAAGTGTCCAACTTTAGCTCAGGTCATCATCTCACGGTTTGTGGGTTCGAGCCCCGCATTGCTTTGTGCTGACAGCTAGCTCAGAGCCTGGAGCCTGTCTTCGAATTCTGTGTCTCCCTCTGTCTCTGACTCTCCCCTGCTCATGCTGTCTCTATCTCTCTCTCAAAAATAAATAAAACATAAAAAATTTAAAAAAAAAAAGAACTGTGCAATTTTCTAGCACTGGAATACACAGAGCCAGCAGTGTTGACGCTGGCACTACTATATCGAAAGCAACGCTTTCCTTTGCCAAGGCCACTAGCTAGCAAATGTAGGTCCACCTGCCAGCCTCTCCTACCCCGTACAGTGACGATGCACATGGTGGGTCCCAGTGGCGTATGCAGACAGAGATGGCCCTCTCCATTCTCCTGGCAATGGATTTCATGGGGAGGCAATGAGATCTTCATTGACCCTGGACTCAGGAAAAGGAGGGAATAACTAGAGGCTGTGATTTGCGGGCTCAGGACCGAAGGGCAGCACCAGTGAGAGGGAGGCAGGGGGTGACCAAAAGGCGAGTTCTGGAAATGTGCTTACTGGTGTCCTGGGGTGCTCATCCCTTTTACGGCTCACGCCCGCTAGCGTCTTCAGACTAACACAGCTCCCCATGGGAGGACTTGTATCTGAGAATCTGGTTGGGGGTTGTGTTTTCCAGGATATCTGTTTGGTTTGTGGCCTCGTATATTGTTCTACCATTTGTTTAGCTGGGATTGTGTCAACAAACTATGCTTCACTGATAAAATTAATATATGCTATGACCAAGATGCACATTTAATATATTTAATTATCAGATTTAGCTTTAAAACACCTTAATAAAAGCCTATGTTAGCATAGCTACAATCCCAAGAACCAATGCATTTTTACAGTAAGAAGAACTAATATATATATTATATATTAGAACTAATATATATATTATATATTAGAACTAATATATATATTATATATTAGAACTAATATATATATTATATATTAGAACTAATATATATATATCACTATTATATCATCTTTACCTAAACATAGTTCCTGGCCCTTTAAGAATTATGCTCTAAAATCATTAAGAAGCCAATCACTTTCCTATCTTTTGATATTCATTGATGTTTCTGGCATTGTGAGTACAAGTAGGGAAGGAATACGTCTCTATTGCTAAAGTGAAGTTTGCCTGTTTTCTTAGCGTTTGAATTCTTTGTATCGGGTGACAAAAAGTGTGTGGTTTTGTTATTAACCCGTTCTGCCATTTCATTTAGACACTACGGTAATTTTCTGAAATTATACCTGAAACAGCCATAAATGATGACCATGAAGCCCTATTATGGCCACTGGCTCAGAAGCAAATGCAGCCCGGAGCCTGAGCTGTGATGTGCTGGGGCACCGAGGCACGGAAGGTCTCTGGACAGGGCTCTGCCCCCAGGTCCTCCATTCAAAGCAGCTCTCAGCAGACCCTTTTTTTTTTCTTTTTTTGTATTCATATCAAGTTCAATCTTGGTTGGCAGCTTGAGGAAACACCAAAGCTCTCCTCTTCTGCTGAAACTAGGCCATGAACTAGATGCCACAGAGAGATTGAGGGTGCGTGGGGTGGGATGCGTGGCCTGCATGTGGGCCACCACCACATCAACGCGAATGTGTGTCCTGGGCATCTGAGGGAGTCGTTCCCTTTTTCAGAAACTGCTTTTCTTCTTACTGGCTGACCTTGAGCAGCCTGGTTGTGCCCCGAGGAACTGGCTTGTCAGGGTGGCCCCCCCGCAGGTCACAGGTTTGGAAGAGAGTGCAAGAGAGGTCTCCGAGTGACAGCCCTCACACACGCCCTCCTCGGAGGCCACCGTGTCTTGTGCTTTTAAGAAGAGACCTTTGGCTTCGGATGTCAGGCAGGAGAGAGAGCCATGGACCCCATTATGTACTCACTGACTTTCCATCAGCCCGTGCATCTGCCGCTCTGGCCAAAGGCATTCTCAGTGTAACAGACACCAGTGCCCCAGAATTCAGACAAGTGGCTAATGTGCAAAACACAGAAAATCTTCTTAAATAAAAACATTTCAGATGTGACAAGCACCAGCAGTTGCAGAAAGTTTCAAGGTTTTCATCTACCATTTGCGCAACCCTTACAGAGATATTCGGGTGTCGTGTTCTATACAATCTGTCGCCATTGTCTATTTCTGGAAAAACGTAGCATCTAAGAGGATGAATATACGTTTGCTTTAATTACATATTAAACCATTTAAAAGTATAAAGGATTAATATCTAGACTCTAAATAGATATTCTTAGAAGATAAACTCAAATTAATCCAATTAATCCAAAGATTCTAACCTAGAGTTATCGCAGCTAATGGAATATGTATTTGGTCTACACAGTAATTGATCAGTAGGTAGAACCACCATTAAACTCACTAATAGCTTTGGTTTTAAGCTACAAATTAAATGTATTCAAACTAATTAGGTATACAGCCTTTTCTTTTATTCATATTTTTTGTTGTTGATTACTAATTTTTCATCCTAAGGATCAAAATAATAACATCACTCCTTTGCAATGCTTTCCTCCTGTTAAATAAATGACTTTCTAATATTATCTCAAACAACTATACTTTCCTCGCCTTTAGCACTCTTTCCCAAATAAACCCAGTGAATTCTCCTGCATCCCCATGTGTCAAGAAGGGCCTGTGTAATCCCTCAGAATGTTCACTTTGGCCATCGCCGCCTGAACATCTTGCTGTTCATCTTTCCTAAGAAAACAAGTCTTTCCTCTTGAAAGCTTGGGGCTTTAAAAATAACAACTACAAAGTGATTTTATGTGGTAAATGCTCATCACAAATTATTTTTTTTGCTGAGTCCTACTGTGTCTCATCTTGAAGAACAGGAGGGGGGTGGTTGGCTCTGTGATCCGCCCATCCAGGGTCCGGCCATTTGCACTAAATTAACACATCCTGGGGAGATTTTCCTAATTCTCTACCAGATGACCCAGTTACTATGACTATTCTTAAAAAAAAAACAAGCCTCTCATGGGAAACACACCCCCGCTGGGCTGAAGCAGGAAGAAAAAGCTAAACTCTGTTTAAAATCTGGACCCTTTGACCCGTGAACTCACAACTTCTTCCTGTAGGTTTTCTGAAAGCCCTAATGACCGAGATGTGACTCTCTCTGCAATGTATGAGCACAAGCAGATGGAGGCTGGGTTTCAAGAAGCTGTTCTAGGATTATGCTATCATCAAGAAACCAAGAGAAATGCTCCTGTGGTACGTAAGGAAGTTTCATATGATTATGGTCAGTGAGTCAACGATTCCTGCCCAAATTATTCAGCTCTTTGAAATAGGATGTCTTTGGCAGGGATCTTCTCGCAATTGAGGCTCACTAAAGCAAGAGAAGGGGTGATCTGCAAGCACACACGTGTGTGTACACAAAGACACACGTACACGCACACAAACCACATAGCCGTACGCAACTGGGCTTTTGTTTCCCCCCACCCGCTATTCTTTACTGTTTTGGAGGCTGTGGGATTCTGGATTTGGTCTCCAACTGGTAAAAAGTCTATTGCCTGGACTTCTCAGAGGGAGTGAAGATCATACTTGAGATGGTGCCCTTGGGCCCCAAGTATGTGTTGCCTTGGGAACAAGGCTTTGTTTACTCAGACAATTGATCTGTCTCGTGGTTACCGAGGCTTCAAGGGGAAACATCCACTCTCTTACCTGGGTCTTACACTAATGTGGGGTCAGTCCGGCACTCCCTGGGACAAGCTGGGAGCCCTTGTGGTACAATAACATGCAAATCTCCAACTCAATTTATGTATTTTGTCCTCTGGGTCCTGGAAACAAATGTCCCCATGTGAGAAGAGAGATGTGCTCCTACCAAGATAGAACAAACTACCGAAAAGGATGCTCACTATTGCTCTCAACCGAGTAAGGAAGACATTTTAAGCAAATCATGAAGCCATAAAAAAAAAAGTGATCAAGCTGACTCCATGGAAAACTTAAATTCCACGTGTAAAAACTACGAAAGGCCGAAATCCAAAAGAAGAACTGGAAACAAATACTGAAACATCTTTGAGAACAATGATTATTTATGATATGCAAAGAGGTTTGAATGTCTGCAGTAAAACGTTCCCACAGAAAAATGGGTAAATCATAGGAGCACATATTTCATAGACTAAGAAGAATATCCAATATAAAATATGCTAAGTTTCAGAAGAATCGAATCAATACAAAAGACATATTTTGTCTTGAAAAGACAGATATGAATGTATAAATTTGATCACTCTCTAGTGGGTGGGGTGGTGTTGGTTTGGGGAAATAGGCACTCTCATATATTATTGATAGATGTGCAAATTGACATGAGGCTGCTGAAGAATGATTTGGCAAGATCTATTATAATTTAAAATATTCACAGCTCTGAATGGTTCTAGTTGATCTAATTTTAGGAGTGATCCTATAGAAACTCTTGTACAACTGTGTAAAGAAGAATATCTGAATTGCAGGAATTGTTTGTAATGATAAAGCATTTGAGTCAACCCAAACGTCTATTATTGCATGAAAAATGTAAATACATTGGGATGCTATATAGTCATTTGTAAAAGATACAGAGCTCTGTACACTGACGTGAAAAGTCCTTAAGATGAAACAGTAAAGATCCTATTTTCCTTGAAGATGTATTTGCCTATCTTCTACCTGTCAACAGTTTTGGAGGAAAGGTACCTGGTATTGTGGCCGTGTTCATCTTGGAGGTGAGAGGAAGGTGGAGGTGAAGAGGAAAAGGAGACTTTTACTCTCTGTTAAGATGTTCAAGAATATTATTACTCTTCTAATCAGAATAAAAATCTATGAGAAAATAAAAAGATGATAGCCTGTCTGCTTATGGACAAATCTGGATTATCTATAAGGTATGTTGCTCGTTTCATGTCTCAGTAAATGCTCAACAGCGATCTTCGTCTAATTCTCACAGTTCTGAATATGATGAGAACATAGGGGAAATTTTGACTTCCCTTTGTCTTTTTTCTTTCCTCCCGGTTTTCAAAGAATCGTTGAATTCTGCTCTATCCCAATGCTGATTGTTCTGATAGAGACAGATTCACAGAAATAGTAGCATGGTCTACGCTACTATTTGGTGTTTGTTAAAATACCAGTCAAAGGCTGGTGACACTTGTCAAAGTCCAGCCTCGCCCGGAAGCCACAGGTTATCCCTCCTGGCCTCAGGGAAACCTGCTGGGGGTGAGATGGGCTGGACATGTGTCATGAGCCCCAGACTCTCTTCTTTTCGTCCGTGCTGTTCCCCGAAAGGCCCTCGGCACCCAAGTGCCCTTCATGTCATTTTCCTTTGCTTTAGATCCTGAGCTCATTTCTTTCCTGGACCCAAGGATATTTATGGACACTTTGTATACAAGGGACCAGGCTAGCTAGTATAATAATCATTTAAACCTCTTCCAGGGAAGGTGTAAATGGATGTTATTACTTAAAAGGTTATTCCTTTCTGGGGAATAGGTGTGCAAGGCCAAACCAAATGAGTTGACTCATTTAAAATATTTTAAGGTAAGTATATTAATTCTTACTGATGAACATTGCCGAGATCCTTGACCAAATGGCCAAACGCACTTGCGGGTTGCAAAGAAGTGGCAGTGAGGTGAGAGCACTGCCTCTGAAATATTTAAAATCATTCAGGTGTCACAGAGGCATCTTTGCCTGGCTTTTGTACCATTTACTTTTCTCACTATGTGCGATAGTTCCTTTAAATACACACATATGGGGGCGCCTGGGGGGCTTAGTCGATTGAGCATCCGACCTCAACTCAGGTCATGATCTCACGGTTTGTGAGTTCCAGCCCCACATTGGGCTCTGTGCTGACAGCTCGGAGCCTGGAGCCTGCCTCGGATTCTGTGCCTCCCTCTCTCTCTGCTCCTCCCAAGACCATGCTCTGTCTCTCTCCATCTGTCAATTATAAATAAACATGAAAAAAATACACACACGGCTGATTTAAAAAATTTTTAGTGTTTGAGTTACTATGCAGCCAAGTGGAGCTTTCATTATTTTGGTCTTTGCATTTTAGCACGGGTAGAGATTTGCATAACCGTCACCAGCATCAGGGTACACGTCTCCCCACAACTCTCCCAAGCTACCGATTTGTAGTCACACCCACTGTCACCCCTGGCAACCGCTGACCTGGGAGGTGCCATGACTGTATATTTTGTCTTTTTGAGAATGACACAGAAGTGGAAACATGCACAACTTCTTGGGCACAACTTAACAGCTTAATGGCCTTTGCACAGCTTAATGGCTTTGAGATTCACCCAAGTTGTGTGTACCACTGGTTCATACCTTTTTATTGCTGAGTAGTATTCCACTGTGTGGATGCGCGAGAGGTCATTTCCTTTTGGAGAACATCTGGATTGTTTTGTGTTGATGATTATGAACAGACCTACTGTAAATATTTGTGTTCAAGTTTCTTTGTGAAAATTGCTGTCCGTTTTTCTAGAATAAATACCTAGGAGTGGGGTTGCTGGATCATATAGTTAAGTCTGTGTGATTTTATAAGAAAGTGGAGCTTTGGAAATGATATTACTTTTTGAAATTCTGTTTTCTGATTGTTTGTTGCTAGTGTATAGAAATACAACTAAATTTTGTGTGTTGGTCTCATATCCTACAGTCTTACAAAATTCACTTATTCATTCTAGAAGGCTATCTTTTTAAAAAAGATTCCTTGGAATTTTTAAAAAAGAGAATCATATTATCTGCAATTAGGGATGGTTTATTCATTTTGTTATAATCTGTACGCTTCATATTTCTTTTCCTATGTTATTGGGCTGAATAAGACCTCCAGGGTGATGTAGAATAGGAGCAGTAATAGAATGCACCCTTGACTTGTCCCCAGTCTTCGGGGGAAAATATTTGGTCTTTCATCATCAAGTATAGTTTTAACTAAAGTTATTCCTGATTGTTGGCTCTGGTTGTTGGCCTTTATCAGACATCCCCTCCTATTCCTACTTTACTAAGAAGTTTTTTCCCCTGTGTTTAAATTATGAATGGTTGTTGAATTTTGTGGAAATTTTTTTCTCCGTCAATCGATATAATCATGTGGGGTATGTGTGTGTGTGTGTGTCTGTGTGTTTAGACTTTTAATACATTGTGAATTACACTGATTGAGTTTCAGATATTGAGCCACCTTTGCATTCTTGAGATAAACCACAGTTGGTTGTAGTATTATAGTGTCCCCATATTGCTGCACTTGATTTGCTAATTGTTTGCCCCTTTGTTCATCAGGGTTGGTGTGGTTTTCTTTCCTTAGACCATTTTTGTCTAGTTTGGGTGTCAGGGCAATGCTGATCTTTGGACCATTTCCAGGTTTGGCTGTTACAAATAGTCCTTCTATGGAAGGTTTGTGTGTGTGTGTGTTTGGGGCACATATGTAGGGGTTTCTATTGGGTATATAATGAGAGTATCATTGCTGCTCCATTGCATTGTCTGACTTTTTCTAATCAGAGGAAACAAGGAAAAAGAAAAGAAAGACCCGATCTGACACCAAAGAGTGCTTATTATATTATTTAAAGCCTAAAACCAGCAAAAGTATTCTATGGTGACAGAGGTCAGGGTGGTGTTAATCTTTGGAAAGGAGGGTGTTTGTGATGTTCTCGTGGTGATTGCATAAATTGTGGTTTTGCTTTGTGAAAATTCATTGGGCTGTGCACTTGTGATTTGTATGCTTTTTCATTAGGCTTGTTAGACGTTAATAGAGAAGTTTACTTTAAAAAGTCAACAATAATCTACACTCACTGTGTCAAGAAACTGTTTATAGCCTAAGTTTTCACATCTGTAAACTGGAAAGGGTAGTGGTACCTACTTCGTTGTTCTGTTGCGATGGTCAGAAAAGAAAATATTTGTAAAGCGCTAAGCCCGATGGCTGACATAAAGAAAAGTACCCTAGCGGTAGTTGATATTACTGTTATCTTTATTTGGCTTGACGTTACGGTTCCAACCTGGAGAAAAATCGTTGAAACACACACACTTAAACTCAATTACTGAACACTCAGTACATGGTATGGTCAAAAGCAAAGTGCTGTGGGATGTCAGACACCCTGGTTTTAGGTGAAATGACTCTACTTCAATGGAACTGGGAAAAAATCCATTCTGCAGGATAGTATTTTTTTTCAAGTGTTTTGAGAAAAAATGCCTCATGGTCAAAAAACATGGGAAAGAGTATCTACTGTAGCCGCCCTGTGTCAGCTTGCTATGGTTGCTGTAAGAAAGTACCACAAACTAGTGGCTTGAAAAGCAATTTATTGGTTGTCTCAAGAGTTCTGGGGCCCGGAAGTATAAGGTCAAGGGGCTGTAGTGTTGGTCTCCTTTCAGGGCTGCAAGGGAAGGATCTATTCCAGCCCTCTCTCTTTGGCTGGTAGATGGCCTACTTCATGTTCCTACAGTGTTCTCCCTACATGGGTTTCTGTGTCCAAATTTCTCCTTTTTATAAGGACAGCAGCCATATTAGATTATGAGCCATTCTAATGACCTCATCTGAACTAATTACACCTACAATGACCTTATTGACAAAACAGGTCACCATCTGAGGTCCTGGGAGGTAGGATTTCAACAGGTAG